TTCTCTAAAAAGCACTGTCATTGTTTTTGAAAAAAATCTAAATTCAAAGTTCTGATGCTTACATCAAACCAACCACTCACCAAGTGAAATTAAAAGCTAACAAAGTGAACTGTAGGTTAATGTGAGAGGTTAGTACATGCTTCTTGCCAGCTATTTTCCTTTCAGACTCTCAGAAACTGAAAACCCAGGGCAGAGGCATTGTAAATCCTATATTTGTTCCTATGGGACCATCACCTTCGTCCATAGGTAAAAATTGAATCTGTCAGCATTCCTGTGGGCATTATAGCTCTGCCTTCCAGCAAAAGCCCCAGTGAGCTGACAAATCCTGAGCTGAAGCCATGAAAAAGCTGTCTGTCATGCCACTCATGCTGTAACAATGCCTGCACATTACAAGCTTAAACTTAAATATTTAGCCTGCACATGACATCATTTTCCTCCTCCTGGGTATAACGAGCTTCCTTCATGCTACACAGCACCAAGAGTCCCATCACGTACTGGATAATGCTGTATTACAAAGCATTTCCACTGGAAAGCATGGAGATTTAGCAGTGACTAGTAAGCCATTCACTTGGCAGATTTTAGGACTGGGTTTTATGGCATTCAAATGGCAAGAAATGATGGGATGGAACAGTAGTCCCTGTGCAGCCCTGCCTGCTGCTGCTCCATGAGAAAAAGATGGTAAAATGTCAACAGAACCCTTCTTCGAGTGCTATGTAAAATACAGTAAACGCACATGGAAATTTATATTCATAAAAACGTAAACATTACAAACACATGGCTATAGATCAATGTCACACTGTATGACTCTACTAATCTTTCCAACTTGTGAAAAACCTGAAAGCCATGGTCACATCTTTCTGGATGAAACCATTATTACTTTACTGGTTACACCTTTTTAGGTATTTGCAACAGAAACATTGACTTGTTTGAATGAAAACATGTCTTTGTAAGCACCAGCAGAAACAGCAAAACAAAGAGTGAAAAGGACAGTCTGTATGTCACTGGGCACTGTCCCCAGAACATGATTCCCCAGTAGCAAAATTGCACAACATGCCGTTTATATAGAGATCAAAAGGCCCACACTCTGATAAAATCAAACCACAGCAGAAATTATTCGTCAGACCCCCATCCTTACATCAGAAGGACAAAGTTGCAGCATATTACGTACATCATTCCCCTTGCCCTAACCCCGAGAATAGACAACATACATATATTTTAAGCGTATGTTTAAATGAGGGAAAACAGACATGACATAGCAATGTGGCCTAAGATCTATGGAGGCTGAAGACAAATTCTGAAGCATACGAAAACCCCATAACAATTGCTGATCCCTAAAAGACCTGAGAGATCTGTGCAAAAAATAGCTCATCATCATCGTTCAAGAACCCAAGATACATGAAGAGAACTGGACAGCAGTGTCCTTTCTTTATTGCATTCAGACAGCTCGGACATGTCTTGGTACCTGTGAGTATGAGTGAATTAAACTTACGAGAATATGAGAGTAGGTAAAAATCAGCTGGCTTAATGACTCAGTAAATCACCTTCCCCTTCCATAAGGCCTAGCACTGAATTTTATTACTTTAATTTCCTATCACCAGCAGCTAAGATAAGCTTTATATTTGTGAATTATAACCAGTTCGTACAAAGTTGTGACAGACAACATGACATTTAGATTCTGCAGAAGCTGAGATACAAAAAATGAAAGGCAGCATGTTGCAAGACCTTACACGTGATAAGAAGTTACTTATATGGCAGCATAAATCACTGCACACATCTCTGGAGCAAAGAGGGAAAAGGAAGGAAAGATTTTAGAATTAGGTATTTCAAAGGCACATTAGTTGCACACACTTAACATTTAATACTTGGGGCTGCAAGTCAAAGTAGATTCAATTTTTGTGGATTTTTTCTAGTTAAAAACAAAATGAGGATGTGCCTGAGCTCTTTGTGCAAATACCTCTGAGAAGGTATCAAAATACTGTACCAAAGTAGAAGGTATCAGAAATTTTGCACAAAATTCTTGTTGCAAGTAGAGATATATCCAGCATACAGTTCTATAGGGTCACACCAAAGCCACAAAATGTTTGAGGCTTTTCTCTTTTCTTGCACAAATCTGCCTTGCAATAAGAATTGATTTTAAATATTCAAAGTTTACCTATCAGCCTGTTAGAAGAAAATCAAACAGAAAAATAACACAGAGGTGTATCTTTTTTCTTCTACTCAAATAATGTACTTTTTTTCTTTTAAAAATAAACTAAAAGGTAAAGACAAAACATAAGTATGAGAAAACTTGACCTAAATGAATTCTTACATTACATATTTTTGTTTAATATTCTCTGCAGATAATCAACTGGTAGTAATAACATTAACTAGTGCGACTGCTATGTGCATATCACTGAGATTTTTATTACTTTGTATAAAGATACCCACCCTCTAGAACATACTCACAGCTAGAATGACAGGTATAGAAACAGAAAATAAACCTTCCACTAGAATGATGCTATATTGCAACTAAATTCCATATTTCTTCAACAGTGTATTTATGTAGATCTATATTACCTATTTCACATCACTCATGACTTACTTGGAACACTGTACAGATTAACAGAAAACCTGAGTAGAATTGAGCCAAAAAAAGTCTGAGGAGGCAAAAAAAAGTGTTAAAAAGCGGGGGGGGGGAGAAGAAACTCAGAAAGGTCAGCGTGCTCAGAGTCAAGAGTTACATGTATCCAGGCAAATAAAAAGTTCTGAAATAATTCTCAGAAACTGTCTGGAGAAAGTACTTTGTACAAGAGAAAAATGCATCAAACTAAAGGTCACAGCAAAGACGAAAAGGGCAGCTTTCCCAGAAGCTGAAAGAAGAAAAGTTATGCCTTGGTACTCTTTCCATTGTCTCAGTCCTTCCAGTACTAAAGTACATAACAAGCCAAACACAATGCTCTTTGAAATTACCTTCTGAGGAGGACATAAAAGTCTTGCTTGCCCTTAATACCAATGTGACTCAAATCAGTAGCAGCACCATGGACCCTGACACGAGTCCTCTCATGAACTGAGATGCAGTGCGTGAAGGCATCACCCTCACTGAACTGACTTCCGTGATGCAGGGTACAATCTCTGCAGGAGAATTGAAAGAAAGAAATTCCTGCCTAAGCCGCAGTTCACATGTCCAGTGCTTCAGTGTATGTGCATCTTTACTGTAACTTCTTAAATTTCTGCAAACAGATTCACTGAAGAGTGATCCATCAGGGATACAACAAAGACAGTTTCTCACCATTCCAGCCTGGTTTGTGGAAGGAAAAACAAAATTATGAATCTGTGCTATCTTGTCCCCACAAAGCTTTTCAAGATAGGTTTCCAAATGCTTGTTGCACTGAGGAAGTCTTAGAAACCCTACCAGAACATCTGTATCTGCATTTGGAAGCTTATTTGCTCAAAAAAAGAAAAAAACCAAAAAACCACCACTCAAATTTGGTGGTTGTTTCTTAATGATCACCAAATTACAGGAAATAACTTTGTGGCTAATAAGTAGCACAGAAAAATTAAAGACTCTATAAAGTTAAGTTCTTAGGATAGAAATACAAGTCTCAGCCTGTAATCTAACTTTAATTCCAAACACATTATCTTCAAAATTCATTTAAATAGTATGTTTGAGCTCCATCAAACTTCTGCAACATTATAATTTTCACTGTATGCTTATTCTCAGTGACCAGGATTCCTTTTGTCACAAGAGCTGCTAATTCTGAGCATTATTATTATTATTACAAGTGACAAAAAGCCCCTAAAGAATCCTGGTGATACGCCACATTAGACTACTTTTGATAAAAGCAGCAGGAGCAATTGGTTAGGAATTGAAAAAAGCAACAGAAAAACTTATTTCAGAATGACATAAAATAAATAAGTGAATATTTGTCTTTGCTCGCTTTCTTTTTTCTGAATGCACCATTAAAATTCAATTTGTCTGAAGAATTTATCTCATCAATCCATGTGTCTATTGCAGATAGTGTCACTAATCAAAGACATTAAGAGAAGATTCTCCAATATTCAGAGATATTGGAGAAAATTTTGACCTTACCGATGGAATTAGACAACTCTTTTCACAGTCACTGCAGTGACAGCTGCATTCATATCCCGCACATTTCAAACTCAAAGTCAGAAGCAAATTCTCATTTTGCAAGCCAGAACATGTTCTGCTGGATATTTACAGCTAACCATTGAAATCCCCGAAACTTGTCAATGATGTCAAACAGGACAGAAACAGATCACCTTGCTAGTTTTTCCTAAGTAGCTTGCATTCATCAAAGAAATAGGAACAGAAACCTTGAAGAAAAAGATTCCTTTTTATCACACCCACTATGAAAGCACTGAACAACTCAACTTCTCTTGGAAGAACCACTTCAAGAAAAAGGATCATGTTTGTGTCTCTGTCTTCATGTTTTATCTTTCTACTTACATTGTCAGCAACAGAAACAATTCTCTTTCTTTTCATTCCAAAGCCTTTTTTTTTTTCCAAATGAGACACACATTGATACCAGCAAGCTCTATAGGGAGGCTCATCATGGCATTTCACATGCCACTAAGTTGAATGATGTTTGTAAATGTCAGTCCATAATGCCAGGTGAAGGAGCTCAAATTTAACCACCACACACATGCATTACTTCTATGTTGCCTTCCAGTAACCCACTTACCAGATGGTTTGCAGAACAAAACCAGGAACAAAATCAAAGTGAGGAAACCATTTTCAGCCTCATCATTTATTACTGGAGATCTTACTGACTGATATAAGTAATGCTAGTCATCACATTTAGTAGGAAGTTGCTTTCAGAAAGCTCCACAAAATCTGAGCTGCATGACTTCCAAGAGAGTGATAGGCAAAAAACTGGTTTCAGGAGATCTCAAGTCTAAGTAATCCTTCTACGTTTTCAAGCAATGTTGTTCGTATCCAACTCAGCAACTAAGTAAGTAGTAGAGCTTTAATTAGGAATGAATAAAATATTAATACTTACGCTGACCCCATCGGCCTGTTCTTGGATTCAAATAATTTGGATAAAGTCCATTAGGACGATCCATTTTTTGAAGTAACTTCCGAATGTGCATGACCTAAATTAAATCAAGAATCAGGATCACCACTAACAATGTTCATCTGCTCTCTGCACCTGCACACAGTTAAATCTAGTAATTTCATCTTTCTTTTTTCTTTAAAGTAGTAAATTTCCTTCATCAGAATCAAGAAGCCTTCTTGAGAGCTTCCTGTAGATTAGTACCTTTTTGTTTTTAAAGGCCTGATCACATTAATGTATTTAAAAATTACAGGTTTTAAATGTATGCCAAAACAAATAACAATACTTGTGCTGTCATAAATTTCTACCTGAAAAAGTCACCTATTTGTTAACAGAAATACAAATATGAATAAATTTACCTGCTACCATCAATACAAATAGAATTCAATATTGAAAGTACTTCCCCTTTAATGCAATCTATGATTAAACAGTATAAAAGACACTAATAGGACAAAAAACTGAATTTGAGACCCACCTTGTTGTAGTATACAGGGTCCCCTGTCAAATAGCTGAGGTGGACAAATTCCATGTGCAGAGTACCAAACTCAGCAAGGATGCTGCTGCCAGCAGAAGCCCAGCCCCAGTTTCGACCCACACCGCTGAATTCCAACGAATATGCATAAAAAAGGGAGAAAACATCAAAAAATTCAGCAAAACATTACAGGTGTACTTAAGATTACAGGGGTTGTGATTTGATTGATCAGCTGGTTCATTGGTGGGTCTTTTTGGAAAAAAGGTACCATAACAGCATCAAAAAAAAAGCCCTGTGATTAAAAGATATCTTGATGTCACAGAAAAATAATGACTTAACACCAGGCCCCACCTCAATTGTTGTTTATTCACTGCATGTTCCTAAGAACAAGAATCAAAAGCAATGATCAGATGAGACAAGAACGCTTCCAAAAATGGCAGCATTCGCTTCGATGTCCTGCCAAACATCTGCTGTGTTCCCTTTACTTGAGTGGGATGTGCTTCAAGGCAGTGTCAGACACTCCAGCAGGATGGCAGTGGGCCCTATCTGTATCTACACAGGAAAATAGGATGTTTACTGTAGGCAGAATATTATGAGTTCCTCAGGCTCACATAAAGCACCAACAGACAGTATTATATACCTATCTCATGCACTCCAAGAGGTACCATATCTTGCTAAGTTTTATCTCCTAAATCACCTCTGGTTTAATGTAATTTGGGAGTTTTCACCACCTTCCAGGATTGGGTCTTTTAATTTCTAAGTTAAGTACATTTTCCTGGAGATTACTTCTACTTACTCACATAAACGATTTCAGTCATCAGTAAGACTACAATCAATTAGGAATGTCTTCTTTCTTATTTTTTAAATTACAAATCAGAAAGAGAAAATGTAAAGGAAAAATGTTGGTTATCAAGCAGTATTTGTAGCTCTAACCTAAGATAGAACACCTTTTAAAATACAGTAACCACTGTTTACAGAGCGTAGAAAGACAAAATCATAGCTTGTCTCTGGGTTTTTTTGGCACACCTGTCATAAAGAGAGAAAATTAAGTGCTTCATTATGAATACATAAGCTAATAATATGCAAATTGATAATTTTCCAAATATTTGTTTCAGGTCTTTTCTTTTACTGCACGTCAGCCTCATGATAAGTGTTCTTATATACACCTGCTACTGTCACTGCCCTCTGGCATGCCAGCCACTATTTTCTGCTGTGGTGCTGGCTGCTTCTGCACATTACCAAGAGACAGACACAGTAAGTGCATAAACAGTACCAGCATGCAGGAAATTTCTGGCACTCCAATCCTTTCCCCTCCTCCCTGGTCCTGCCTTCCTGACTGTGTTTTGATGCCCGACCTACATGTTTTACTCATAAGTATCCATGCATCTACTGCTTGCAGCTTCTCAAACCTCACCATCTAGGTTGCTTGAGCCAGTGAACCAGACCCCTGTGCTGCCTGAGGAGCATGGCCACCTGGCCCATTCAAACCTTCTGGAACCACGGTGCAGGCTTGGGCTAAACAAAGCAAAAATCAAAAACTTAGCTATGCCTAGAGGAATTTCAAGCTCTATGAAACTGCAGAAAGAACACAAGACTGAGTAAAATATAATGCCATGCAGAAAGTGCATAGGGAAATTTAACCAAATAATATTAATTGTACAGAGGTCAAGTAAATAGGTAAAGTGCAGCACAAGCAAAGCAAAGTAAACCAGCAAGCATGGTGAGGCCCTGCACCAACAGAAAGGCAAACCACAGCTCCATGGTCTTCACCTGAGGAGTGACAGCAAAGTGAAGGTTGTTTCCTGATCATAAAAGCATATGTAAGGCTAATGCTTTCAAAGTGGTCCTAAACCTCTTCACAGTCTAATGAAGCACAAGTACTTCTCCTAACAAGAAAACAATTTAAAACAATTTAAAAACTCTCTGCTATTTACTACCCCAAGTTGCTAGTTGTACATGCAATCTAGACATGCATTCCAATACAGCTACTGTTTAAGAACTTAAAAAAATATATTTAAAAAGGCCTGGCATCAAAATCGCTCTCTTACAATCTGAGGAAAATCCCAGCATTGAACAAGCAATACAAGGTAAATTAGACAAGGCAATTCTCTTCCTCAGGGCAATGCAGATCATCTAAGTTCGTGTCTGACTGAACAGTCATCTAAAGGAGCCTCTCCATCTCCACTGACCATACCGGACTTCAGCATACAAGCCTTTATAACTAAACTGAACAGTAAAATGAATTAAAAGCTTCAGAGTCCTGTCATCTTCTCAAACATGTTACCTTACTTCTGAAGGTAACATACAGCTCACATAAAACCCAGTAAGTTCAACCATGGCCTGCAAACAATTTTATTTAATGACTAAAGAATCACTGATTAAGCTCTAGGGCAACACAAGCCATAATACACTGGGCATGTTCCAATGGCATGTTGAATTCTTATTGCAGAATCCAGGAAAAAAAGATCATGGTAACAATTTATTGCAGTTAATGAGGTAGAACACTCTGAACTCTATTAAAATAATTTTAAAGCACCAGAAATGCCAATTTGCATCTTCTAGTTCCACTACTGACAAAAAGTGACATATGCCATTACTCATTTTAACTTGGAGGTAGAGGGAGGAACACATTTCCCCACAAAAGAAAGTTCATTACCTCTTCAGATTCACCATTGCCCATGGTATACCCGTAGGTGTGTTAAAGGCTGGAAGAAGTTTTCCTGCCAGCTGCACCGCTTTGATCTTGAAAACCTAAGATAGTAGGATCAATTGCAAATAGTTAGAAAGTCTGATTTATCTCCAAGAACTATAAAGACTGGAATTTCTTTGCCCCACCCACCTCCTTGTATTAGAAAAGCTTTAAATTGTAAAAAATATATGAACTTATTTATTTTTCACTTGTTCACTTTATGAATTTCATTAAGATTTGAACATGAAAAGAAAACTTGTCATTTTCATTTCTTTCCTTCCATGCTCTCCAGCAACAGAGCTTAGGTTGCTATTAAAGAAGAATATAATTTCTCCTCCCACCTCCTTCCCATAATATTAGGAATTTCAAGAGCTTTCTGAAGCAGTCTTCAAACCATACTTTACATTTTGGAGCTATAAATCAAGAGATAACTCCCCCAACCCCCACAAAAGTATTTTAAGTTTTACAAACTTTCAGTCTCTTTTTGATGATATGTATAATGCAGACAAAATTCCTACTTTTTATGGACACTATGCAAAACTACATGTATGTTGTTTTCTGTAATTTTTCCTTAATTGATAAGACATAAGAAAAATTATAAGCTTAATCTTCCCTCTCAAGTCTGATTACTCATAGAAATTACTGATGGGATGAAATCTCTTTCATTTTTAGTGCTGTTTCCACTTACTTTTAGAACATAAATCTGTAACAGCCTTGTTCAGAGCATAAAGTTTACTAGTTAAATGAGTAATTAGGAGAAAGTTCCTTCTAAGCCTATAGGAAGCATCTTTTCCAGAAAGGCATATTTGGTAGATCCCCATGACTTAAAAGTGTTTTTACCAGCTAGTTGCTAGCATATATTTTAATTAACATGCTGTCAGTATAGATAACAATATTCATAAATTTGAAGTACTGCACAAACATGTAACAAAAAGAGCTACTATGCCCCAAAATAGCTTATGCAACATGGATATTCTATAGAAATATTATCAAGTACCTGACCAATACTCTAATTGAGAGAAATCAGAGCTTTAAGAAGGACTACAATACAGCTCTGTTGCTTTTATAAAAATGATTTCTCCCTTTTGTAAAGTCTATGGGAAGAAAAGAGATGTTCGCTGGAGAAGCAAACTGAAAAATAGCTGAAAAATAAGCAATCAAGAACATCCTCATTTCTCATATGAAGGTGAGAAAAGATCAATATCTTAATATTTGAGGAAATTACTAGTGAGAGACATGAAATAAAACAGAAAAGAATATTAAAGATGACATCTAATTGTATTTGATGCAGTGGAGTATGGAGAGATGGAGGTGAATCTGAGAGCAATGAGCCAGGAAAAAGAACTTTTACAGAGATACTTGAATTGGAAGATGGGATGTGTCTAAACTGAAAAAGGGGATACCTCCAAATATGACTTGATAGAATTGTGAAGTGACAGAGGCAATGTGGCTTGAATGATTTTCAGCAAAGATACTGACAAAAGACAGTCTTTCAGAAAATATACAGAAATGTAGCAGTAAAATTCAGATAACACTGACCTCAAATGAAGGACCAAGTCAAAATAAGAAGGCATAATATAAACAAGAGGTATAATAAAGATAGAAGCTATGGTGACTCGGGATAAAGAAACTCTGAAGAGAACTAAAATCTCTATCTTGGCCCAATTACATATAAAGTTACCTGATTTGCATCTATAAATACATGCCAAAAATTCATGCTGAACTTTTAGATTTTAAGTGGTAGATGGATCAAGACCAGACAGAACTATCTATAAGAAGATATCTAAAGGGAGTTCTTCTACAGCACAGGCAAGCTTCAACACCTAATCCAGAACGGAATGATGACTTCCAGTTAAATGGTACACAGTTCAGAAAGGCAATTGGGGCATGAATTCATTTAGCTTCAGCTTTTAGATATTACAACCTCTGAAAGCTCTTCACATTATTTTATTATTAATGAAAGATATCAAAAAATTAGGGTAAGAATATTCAATGGGAGGATATCCCTAGAAATATCCTTACTGGAAGAATATTCTTAATGGCTAATTATGTACCACTATCCAGCTTTTAATCTATTTGAAGTGTACTACGATGGTTTCGGGGGAAAAAACCTATAGTATTGGAAGCAGTTTTTAGTAAAAGAGTATAAAGTAAAGGTTGAGCTGGTCTAAATGTGCATGAATCTAAACAAGGACAGTTAAAGCAAGGCAATCGCTGTGCCAGCCATTTCAGCATTTGAACAAACCAGAGCATCAGAGCAGGAGAGATAACTGCTGTAGTTCAGACAACCACATCAGAAAAGAATAGACTATTTCACGTGGAACGGACCTACAACAATCATCTAATCCAACTGCACATGTTAGCAGTACCTGTGAAAACCTGATGAGAGGTACCTTCCTGTCACCTCTGTTGGGTTGAGGAACTCTATGTAGCACTGATTCAGCATCAGAAGGTAAAACTCTGCCTCTCTCTACCCTTCTCATCCAAAACCAAATCCAAAGAAACTTTAAAAGAAGTGAGCTGAAGATACGTCTTCAATTTCTATTAAGGTACCTCCCTACCTTATTGCCATCTCAGTCCTATCTCACTGCTGCTTCTGGATAACAAAACTACCTAGTGCTTGATACTGGGTTTACCTGTGCAGACTGGAGTGAAAACTGAGAGACGGCCACAAAGATTTTTAACAGAGCAAAGTGACCAGAAGAGTGTATTTGAGGAGA